GAATTCATTTTTACATACCTTGCATGGATTCATTTGTATCTGCATCATGCTTTTCAGGCGTCACAAAATCAGCAATCCCTTTCTCCATGTCGAGATGCTCCTCCTCTAATATTATTTCTTTTCCAACACTCTTCTTGATCATTTTTTCATTTTCTTGCTCATCTATATCATTCCCAGATCCAGCTTCCTTTTTCAAGTCCTTCCTTCCTACATTTTTGCCTCTAACCTCCTCCTCTAACTTTGGGTCCTCCTCACGCGCTTCTACATTTGTTTCAGCGGCAGGCACATCTTTCACATCATCAAATCCAGGCTCAGTTTCCAACTCCTTCCCTCCTACATTTTTTCCTCTAACCTCCTCCTCCTCCTCTAACTTTGAATCCTCTTGAGGCAGATGTACCTTTCTTTCAGTAGCATGCACATCTGTCACATCATCAAACCCAACCTCCTTTTCCAACCCATCCTTCGGTTCATTTCCTGGTACATAAGCTGTGCTACTAGTGGCACCATCAAATGTACTAGTTGCTGGATGGAACCGACCCGCCACATCCAATTCAACTAACCTGTCAACCTTTTTCTCCACCCGATCAAGTTGAGTCGATATAACTGCTTGTAGCCTTCCCTCAAGTTTTTCAATTTCCATTCTCAATAAATCCTCTATGTTAATCTCAAAACCACGCTGTGGTGGTTGAGCTGCTCTAGGAGACTCTTCGTGGTATGCATGCTATGGCTCGGCATCTTGCTCAGCCTCGTCTCCTTCCGAATGATGTGAAACACTCTCATCTTCTTCCACGATTGGTTTCAACTCTTTCCAATAGGCCTCCTCGAGTTCAGCTTCGGTGGGAATCAATGTGGAATTAACCTCCAACTGCAAATATTAAAAGGTGCAAGTCATTAGTCATTCATGAAGCTAATTCCACAATTTGTTCCCATTAAACTTAATAAAGACAATTTTACCTCCTTCGAATTCAACATGTTCTCAATGGCAGCAGACGTTAACCCCTTAGGCATTTCTCAAGTGACCATTCTTGGTATTACATCTCGATATTTCATACCAAACTTCATTCCCAAAGTTGGGATCGCTTCAAATGCCCAAATCTATTGCAAAACAAACATTTATATTATCTCACAACACAAATTTATATATATTAAAAAAAAATATGAGTCAAGTGTATTATTTGTTCATACCATTATAGCGAGGGGAAAGCCGTGCAATGAATATCGGCAACGTGATTCGCCTCCGACGTCCGAACTTTTCAATTTATCTCCCATCTCACGTTTGAATATACTGATCGTGTATTCAAATGAAAACTTTCCCCATGGATACGTCTCGAACCTATCTAGATCATCCACCAAGTCTAGCCATCATAAATCGATGTATGTATTCTCCTCTATAGCCCACAGGACGTACGCCAAGATTACGATCAATCCTAACTTATACTTATCGCTCTTTCTTTTCTTGCAAATTACAAATGCATTGTAAGCATCTCCCTTCGTTATCTTCTCCCCACTATTCTTAAAATACTCTTTCACGATCCGACACTCTTCCCCAAAGGTCTTATCTACGTCGTTATCATCACCCGTATTTACGCCCGTAACTAAAATAAATTCTTCCAACCCAAATTTTGCATTTTTCTCTCCTATCTTAAACTAAACTTCTTTTTTGTTGGTCCTTATCTTTCGCAATAACAACTGATGTATAACTTGTGAAGCCAACTTTATGTCCTTCAACCTAAGAAGAGATCCAAAGCAGCTTTCACTAAGCTTGTTTTTGTAATTTGTATCGAGCTTCTCATACACATCTCGCACTATTTGCAATCTACATCTCGTCGTAATCGTAGCATCTACTTGAAGAATCTTCTTCATAGCACTGCAAATTATAAAATATGTACTAATATTAGAACTGATGATAGTAAAGCACATAATAACAAATATAAAAACTAGAAATATTAAAACAAGCTACCTAGTTCTTCTAGTTTTTCTTGTAGTAGAATTTTTTTTTGAATATGAAATTTAATAGCAGGTATTATCATTGCTAACGACAAAGTATATTTTATTTGATATTCATTTATTAGGCGTTCTTAGCTTATGTGCTTTATAGAACTTGTAAGTACAATGTATTATAAATTGTGCATGCGGTGGCTTTATAGTTAAATGCCTCACCTTAGTATAGTAATTTGTTTACAAATTCAGCATTTTCATTTTCTAAATCATTTAAACCTAACATAAAGAAGTCATTTTTTCTTTTAAACATTTGGTAAACTTTCTACAAATTATTCGATCTTTTCTGGAAGAATGAAAAGAGATGGCTTTGGACTTGAAGAAAAAGAGTTAAATGTCGAAAATAGCCAATAACCCAAACAAGAATAAGAAACAAAAGAATGATGGAAACTAAATAACCATTAAAAAAAATTACAGTAAAAAATGACAAAGAAACCACATTAGAAGCTAAAAGTATTAAACATAGTGTCTAACAGGTCATTTGTTTTCCAAACTGGATAAATAAAATGATCGCCAAGACATATGATTCACAGGTACAAGTATCCCAAAAATAATGGACCATATTAATTTCCTAGATGATTTTCCCACATCTTCAAAATATAAGGGTCCGTTTGATTGCAAAGGTGGAATTTGGGTGGAAAGAAAACGAATTCCAGGAATTGAATTGATGGGAAATTATTTTCCTGTAAATTGTAAATTATTGTGTTTGATTGGTATAATTTTTCACATGGAAAATGTTTAAATTAAAGTGTCTTTTGGGGTCCGTTTGATTTTGTTTTACATAAAAACTGTCAATTAAAGGGATAGAATTTACTGGTATTGGGAATGAAATTTGTTTCCGTTGCAAAAACCAAAAAAAAAAAAATTCAAGAAAATCATCTATTTTTGGGTGTTCGTTTGATTTTGTTTTACATGAAAATCGTAAATTAAAGGGAAATATTTTTTTACAATAAATCTTAGAATTTGTTTCCACTGCAAACAAAAAAAAAAAGAAAAAGAAAAAGAAAAAGAAAAAAAAGGTGCTACAGTAAATCGGGAAAACAAAGAAAACTTCAATTCCCAAGAAAAGTTAGAAAATGCAATTCCATGGAAAAAAAAAGGTATCAAACACTCTTAAAGCTCAAAGTTGGAATTGATTTTCCACTTTCCCTAAAAAATTTTGGCCTATCAAACAGTGTCTAAGTTGTTAACTTGCTCACCAAAAAAATAAAGTGGTTAAAATGATTTCTTGACATAATTTCAAAAATAACCAAATTCCTTTCAGGTAAAATTTCAGAAAAGAAAAAGGGAAATCACCACATTCACATTTGTTATCATGCACTATGCTATTCCTTCCATAGTTACACAACTTCCTAAACAAAGTTCATTTTTATAAAAACTATTTAGGATCACCATTCACAAGAATTAATCCCTATATTTAAAATTGAAATTCAAGACTCAGTTGGGAAAACCGGAAACATTATTTAACCATCTCCCTTATATGTGGTCAGATAAAATTTGAAAATCATTACAACGAGATTAATCTTCTCTCATCCAACCCACAAATTTTTTTTCTCGCTTTCCACCAGAATCCAATCAATTCTTAAATTTAAATATCTTATACCCCTAAAACACAATATTGGCGCAGTCAAGCACCGCGCAAGTTTAATTAAAGTAAAAACAATAAAGAGAAGATTTCTTAATCTCAGAAATGTTAAAAAAAGATTCCAAAAAATAAGATAGTAAGATCCAAAGTAACATTAACAATTGCTATAAGAGAAATACCATAAAAACCGTATATGAAAATAATCAGATACATGAGAGAACTTGGGATCCGCTTAAATTTGAAGCTTTAGTATCTGATTGAGACAAAACCCTAAGGCCGTGAAGCAGAAAGAAGGAAATGAAAGGGTCCCCCTTCTTTCTTCTTTCGTTTGGGGAGAAATAATGGAAGGTTATAATTGTCTTTTTAAATATTTGCATATTTATATTTTATGTTATTTTCAAAATTCTAGTCAAAGGCCTTTTAAACAAAACCCACCTGAAAGCAGCCTTCCCAACTCATTTCCCCTATTTTTATGTTGTCATATGCAATGTTTTTGTTCCCTGAGTTATGTGTCTGTGTTTCAATGTGTATCTACACAATGTCTGTTTGTGTAAGTATATATACCATCCATGTAGTCAATGCATGCCATTTAAAAATCAGGCGCCACTGTTATTGAAATAATAGTCCTAGAGTGTAATATCACCAATTCTTTTGTTTCTAGTTGGAAATGATTTGGAAAAAAATGTACATTATGCAACCCGTAATCAGGGGCGGACCTTGGGGGGGGGGGGGTTTATAGGGGCAATTGACCCTCTAAATTTTGAGGAAAAAAATTATTTTGCTTAGCTTTTTTTTTTTTTTTTTTTTTCTCCTTAACTTTTTTTTTTATTAGAAGATACCCTATAAATTTTATTTTTGACCCCCTAACTCAAATCGTCTGGGTCCACCCCTACCCGTAATGTTGCGATAAACAACTGTTGCTCCTCAGTACACATATTTTCGACAACATGCACTCACAAATGTTTTGTATATCACGTCTTATTTTATGCTGTATGTGATCACAACATTTTGTATCCTCATGTCATGTCTGTAAGATATCGTTTGACAGTTTTTACTATCCAGATCTTGCTAAGAAATATGTGAGACCCAAGATTCAGGATTACATGCAAGCTTATATTCCCAGGTTTGGTTCACAAAGTAGCTCTTAAAACATGTGAGTTACAGTACTATGAACGATGTAGCATCACACATTCCGTGCTGTTGCTTCTAATAAATGATATTTTCCCAAGTCGTTAATATTGTGCATACATTTCATAAGTTGTGATACGTAAACTGATTGCTATGCACTGATGAGGTTTTGCTATATTATGAACATGTTCTATCTTCACAACATGGATTAATTCACTGCTGAGTGCAGGTGTCACGTTACATTTTGTTTGCCCTGTTGCAATTAAACTTTTTTTAAATGAAAATGTAGGTAGAATCTTCATTCTACATTCCCCCCGAGAACAGATTTGGTGCAAGCTTGAATGTGTTCTTCAGGAAGAAGGTTATATCGAAGCTGAATAGCAAGCTGACCACATCACAAAAGGAAATGTTTCGATGCTTGTTTCGGACACTTCTTGCAAATGAATGACCTGCGCATATGTGTTACAGGCAGCTATCAACGCTCGGCGCCTCAGGGGTGCAATCTCATTATCACACATAAACCTAAAAATATTCCGGTAATCGCATGTATTACCTGATCGCTCGGAGAAACCCCTGAAAATTGAAGCCTTCAAAGAATCGGTTGAACACAGATCGAGAATCTTGGGTGATTACGGGCTATTCCCACTACGATTTTTTTGTTATATGTAACGAAGTAATGTTCAATGGTAAATGGGATTCATATTCTGCAGTATCTCCCAGTTTGAATTTTTGAAAACCCATGTAATTTGCAACCGTCCGTTTTATTGGCCGTGATAACGGCATCTGTGTCTTCAGTTACAATTCAATATTTGGAAGGTCATGAGGGTAGTATTTTTGTTTATAATATATCCCAATTGTAGTAAGAAAGTTATATGTTTATGCATTTCAGTATTTTTAGTAATAGTTTGTTTTTCACATGCAAATACGAAAATTTCCCTAATTTCAACCTAGGAATCCTGATAGATTGATGGAGTGGGGTGAGGCTGGGCTGGGCTGGGTTGTGTGGACCGAGTGGTCATTGGCTTCCACTGTCAATATTTCAGTTTGTCCACTGCCTATTTTTTTCAAAGCAGCGTCATGCATACGCCTAGGCGCTACTATCAACACTTAAATTCTTCATAATTAATGTATTTGTTTTCTCTATATTAGTCAATTGAATAAAATACTCATTTCTTCTATCAATTAATTCTTTGCATTCTATCTTGTTGTTTGTTTACGATTATATACTTCATACCCCTGTCATATGCATTATCTAGATCCATTTTATTTCCCAAAAAGTGGTATCAGGGCTATTGGTTATGATTTGTTCAATGCCTTTGTTATTGATGACAGTCATGAAGTATGAAATTTCACTCTTCGATTGCAATACAAGATTCTCATTGTGGCAATTGAAGATGTGAGTTGTACTCCCTCAGATGGATTTGGATGATGCATTCTTGAGATTTGACAAAATATCCACAACTTATGGAGGAGAAACAACGGAAGGGTTGAAAGGCACTTTTACATATCTATCTTCATTTTTCTAATAATAATTTTCGGGACATTTTAAGGGAGAATGGCAGCAACATTGTGGTTGAAGTTGGAGCAATTGTGTATAACTAAAAGTCTAATAAGCAAATTGCATTTGAAGCAGATGTTGTATTTTCATTGTTTGGCAAAAAGCCAATCTTTGGAAGATCTAGCTGTATCCAAGGAGATCTTGAGGATTTGGTGACTTTAGAGATAAAGTATAACAAACAATATTTGGTCTTAATCCTTTTGTGTTCGTTGCCTACTTCGTTTACTTGATTTAGAGACATGATCTTTTATCTTTCAAAACTCCGCAGCGACTCGGGATGGAAGGTAACCCAACGCCGCTTACCCTAAGGGTCATATAAAATTCTACACACATTGAATCGACATGATTTCAACTATACTCAATAGCTAATGCCTGAGATATCAAACCTAATTGGTTTCGTCCAAAAAATTCAAGTAACGAGCGAGTTATGAATTTTGGAAACTAAGGGTAGAAGCTGAATATCAGCTGCACTTCCTAGTGCCGTCTACTTTATGTGACAATTAAAATTCTACCAACATCGGATTGACATGATTCAAAATTCATTCAGTAGCTAACCTATGAGGCTATCCAACACCACTGGTTTTGCCTAAAAATTCCAAGTAATAATTTATATACGAATTTTTAAAGTCAAGGCAGAAACTGACATTTTAAAGAAAACAGCAAACTTTAAATTTCTAAAGCTTCTTTTTTTCCTATGTAAACGGTGATTTGTAAAATGATTTCTTGATACATATCTACTTTTAAACATAATTTATTCATAAAGAAATATTCTTGAAATATCTCCATATATGACGTCCATAGAAATCTATTTAACAGAAAACAAACGCAAATATTTCATAATTAAATTTAGAATATCAAGTCACCGGCTTTCTTCGTGGCATGTCGCATCATCTTTTACTATTATCCACGCCCAAGGAAATCCATTCAACCTGAAGGAAGGGAATTAACCCATGAATTTGAAACTCAATAGATATCATCGGTGTAATTCGTTCTCAAATTAGAAATTTCAAACTATAGATTCATACCGTTGCATGTAGATAGATTTTTGGTAAAATCCAATTTCTATAGCATTATTATAACACGTAGAGCCAGAGAATGATCATTCAAATTGTTGTAGTGCCGAGGCACCATACCCAGAGATACTATTTCATTCAACCTATAGTAGTGCCGAAGCACCGTACCCGAAGGTACCAATTCGTTCAAAATTTTATTGAAAAATCAAAATTTGAAAACGAAATAACACTTGCACCTCTATCTACCTTCGTTTGATGCTTTTGAATCGATAAAGTTGGTTGGTGAATGTTGTTTCCCAACAGCACCCAAAGCTTAAGAAATTTGCTCCTCTCCTATGTCTTTCTTACTTTTGAAATTTTCTTTTCTTGTTTCAAATTGCGAGAAATGAAAGTTTTATCTTCTAAAAGAAAAACTCTTATAATCAAGTTTATAATTCTCACGTACTCCAAGTAAATCAATTGCCGTTCGGTTCTGTCACTTAATTACAAATGTATGAGATGCCAATAAAAGAGTTTTATGGGAAAACTTTAAATTAATTATTATAAAAGTTAATGCTTTAACCATGTTTAATTTATAACACCCTATCCACTTCCAAGTAATTGTAACAAATTGAAAAATGAAAGTATTTTTTTCTTTTCCACACGTAACCTACAAAATCTCGAAAGACACACATAACTTACAAAATTCAAAAAGGCATATTCATGTTAATTAGGACTAATGAAATTAATCAATCAAGAGTTTAAGTTGCATAATGTGTGTGTATATTTTTGGGATTTAAATGACTTGTTTGTACCAACTAATCAGATTAATTGTTTGACCATTCAATCGAAAGTTATTTTTAACGTGTAGTTGTTATGTGTGTGTATATAATACTATATATTTGTCATTTTAAAAAACTAACATGTACGAAAATCAAATTTTTTTAACTATACATAAAATAAATTTTCACTGTTGGGTTCAATCTTTGGGAAAAACATTAAATTATTCCATCCAACTTCATCAAATAATTTTTTAAAAATATGTATAGTGGCTGAACCTGGGTTGCGTGTTGAACCACCAAAAGATTGTAAATAAATTCATTTTAAAGTATATTGGACTAGTATTGAGCTTTCATTTCTTTTGTGGGTCGCGCATGAGGTTCATCTATAGGCTAGGCTCGTGATACTAGATCGTCACATTAAAATATGAGCCTAACTTCATTTTTTTGGGCCTTTTACATCCCTTGCACCTTAAATAAAATTTCGTCCTTGAAATTTATCTTATGGTTGGACAAAGAGTGTCGGGTATCTGTCTTTAACTTTTTCTTCTCTTTCCCAAGTAGCTTCTTCTACTCCACGATTATTCCATTACATTTTGACTAGTTGAATCTCCTTGTTTCATAATTTATGTACCTTTCAATCCAATACCTTAATCGATAATTCCTCATAAGATAAGTCTTTTTATACTCGCAAGGATTGATAATTTACCACGTGATTGGGGTCGTGCATATACTTTCTGATCATTCATATATGAAACACATTCTGAACTGTTGATAGTTCAGGCGGCAAAGCTAATCGATAAACCACATTTTCGACCTTGTTATGTATTTCAAAAGGCCCGATATAATGAGGCCATAGTTTGCCTTTCTCGCCGAACCTAAGTACACCCTTTATTGCTGCCATCTTTAAAAAAACTTTCTCTCCAACTTCAAATTCCATATCTTTTTTCCTAGTATTTGCATGGCTCTTTTGTCCATCTTGAGCAGCCTTTATCCTAGTACGGATTTTATCAATGACTTCAACTATTCTTTCAATGATATCTGGTTCCAAAACTCTCTTCTCTTCAATTTCATCCCAATGAACAGGTTATCTGTATCTTCTACCATAGAGAGCTTCATACAGTGTCATTCCAATAGTTTCTTGAAAACTGTTATTATATGCAAATTCCACCAAAGGTAAATACGATTCCCAACTGCCTCCTAGATCCAGAACATAGGCCTTTAGCATATCTTCCAAAGTTTGAATGGTCCTTTCAAACTGACCATTGGATTGAGGGTGATACGCCGTACTGAAATTCAATTTCATTCCCAAAGCTCCTTGTAAGCTCTTTCAAAACTTTGACATAAATCTCGGATCTCTATCTGATACAATGAACACGGGGACAACATATAATCTTACAATCTCTCTAATGTACAATCGTGTCAGCTGATCTAGACTAAATGTCATTTTCACTGGAAGAAATGAGTGGACTTTGTTAGACGATCCACTATTACCCATATAGCATTGTGTCCTCTTGCTGACTTTGAAAATCCTACCACAAAGTCCATTACGATATTCTCCTACTTCCATCAGGTATGTCTAATGGATTTAATATCCCTGCTAGTCTTTTTATGTTCTGCTTTAACTTGTTGACACACTATGCATTTTGCTACAAATGAGCCTATACTTCTTTTCATATTCCTCCACCAAAATGTATTTCGAAGGTCTCGATACATTTTCATACTATCGGGATGTGCGGTGTAGGGGCGGAATGAGCCTCATCCAATATCTCCTTCCTCAAAATTTCATCCTTAGGTACACAATTTCTTCCTTTAAACAATAGTGCCTGATCTGAAACTATTTCAAAATCCTTTCTCTTATCATTAACAATCTCGTTCTTGATCTTCTGCAAAAATGGGTCTTTGTTTTGTGCTTCTATGATCCGATCTTTAAGAGTAGATAGAACCACCAAAGTTGCTAAATAGGCAGTGACTTGTTTTGGTGTGGTAATCACTTTGATTCACAAATTTTCCAATTCTTTGATCAACTCCATTGGAATAATAGTTAATGATGCCAACTGTCCCATCGATTTTCTGTTTAGAGCATCAGCAACAACATTAGCCTTACCCGAATGATACTGAATAGTGCAATCATAATCATTTACTAGCTCCAACCATCGTCTCTGTCTCATATTCAATTCCTTCTATGTGAAGAAATATTTGAGACTCTTAGGATCTGTGTAAATATTGCACTTCCCTCCATATAAGTAATGACGCCATATCTTTAATGCATGAACCACCGCTGCAAGTTCTAGATCATGCGTCTGGTAGTTCTGCTCATGTTGCTTCAATTGTCTTGAAGCTTAGGCAATTACTTTTCCATACTGCATCATTACACATCCGAAACCTTGTTTGAATGCATCACTATATATATTAAACCCTTCCGAACCTTCAGGTATGGTTAACACAGGTGCTGTAATCAACCGTTATTTTAGCTCTTGAAAGCTTTGCTCACTTT